CACAAAAAAAAAAAAAAAAAAAAAAAGCCAGAAGGGCTGCAACTACTTTTTAGCTGATAGAGTTAGGAACTATCTATTTGGAAGATTCCAAGGAAAACCGTAATTTCCATGCTATGCTTGATTCAGAAAAAGAAAAACAAAGTAGTCTAATTAGCAGAATTTGCTTATTCTGATTTAAATTATGAAATTTTGAAGAAACATTTGAAGTATGATACCTGTGTAATTAAGAAAAAAATCATAATTCCCCAGCCCAGGAAAAAAGGAATTTTCAGGTCAAAAATTGGATTATGACAGCACTGAATTATAGTCCAAATAATAAAGTTATATAAGAAATGGTAATAATATTAAAAACAAATCTGCTTCTGGCAAAAACATAATGTACGCTACCACACATTTAAAATAGAAGATAATCTAAATTTTGCTAGTTTAAAAGGGTCTTCCCAAATTTCCTCTCCACTCTAAGACAAGGACATGGCTGCTTTCAGTCCCAGTATGGTTGGGCAAATGCTGGTGCCCAGGTGCTTCAAAGGGGCCACAGGGGTCAGGTGGGGGGTAATGCCCAGAGCATTTGTTTTCCTTTGAAGGACTCAGTATTTGGAAAGCTCCTGCTTTGGGTGCTCATGCCGTTGCTTGCTTTGCCATCCAGTCATTTGAAAAGATACTCATTTTTAAAATTTAGATTTAGCCTAAGCAGCAGATTGACTTTTGGACAGAACAAGTGACTACAGCAGAAATCCTAAACTAAATTCCAGCTACATGCCTGTTCTCCCCTATATAAATATCACATTTCACTAGTGATACAAGGAAGATGTTAGAACTGCAGTGGTGATAATGGGTTTCCAGCACAATTTGTACATATATTGCATACTGGAGTACAATGCCCCTCCTCTGAATATTAATACAGTCTCAGCATGCTTTTTGATATACTTCTATTAAGTCACGAGCTACATTAACATTGCCTGGTACTTCTCAAGCAAAGAAGAAAATGTGAATATAGGCAGAAAGCATTTTTATAGGCATTGTATAACCAGGCAAGATACTGCCTTAGCATCTACTTCAGGAATTATACATTCTAATCTATGGAAAGATCCAATACTATCCACTATGGAGAAATGGTTGGTGAAGTTGGCAGATTTTGCTGAAATGGATAAATTGATTTCTTTGATTAAAGAGAAGACATTATCTACATTTATTGGTGACTGGAAGCCTCTCATGGACTCTTTGCATAAAAATGAAAAAATGAATTTGTGATTTATGGTTTTGATGATTTGATAGGATAGATTATAGAAAGAAGAGTAATAGGATGTAACTTTAGAGAGAGAGGTTAAAATATAACTGCTGTTATAACTATGGAACTTACGACTACGGAAGCCATTTCTTTATATCTTTTTTTCTTTCTATGTTTTTTCTTTTCTTGCAGTTTTTGCTTTTTCTTTGATTTCTTCCTTACTTTATATTAGTTTGTATCTGTTTTTATCTTGTTTAAAAGTTTTAATAAAAATTATAGGCAAAACAAGGAATTATACATTCTAAATCATCATAAATACAGTATAGTCATACAAAATGATAACAGGATAATATTAACATATTACTATAGACTGAGAAATATCAGGACAGAGAAGCAGATCTTGAGGATGACTGTCTACTCAAAATAAAATGTTAGTAATTTTAATCAAACTCATTCCTAAGTAAATGTGCTCCAAGAATCTCACTTTGAAAATACAGGGAGGAAAAACAGGTATTAGTTTTTATTTCTAATGTATTTTTAAATCAATACAAAAGAAGGATTAATATGAATCAAAGCTAACTAGACTTAGTTATGAATACCACAGTTCAGCCCCAGAAGTATTTAGTTCAGAAGCAAGTGTTTACAGTTCCAGGTTTATCAAACACAGAAGACATGTAAACCCCGCCCCCCCATTTCAGAAATATAGAAGAAATGAGTCTGCAATTATTAAGAAGCATGTTGAGTTTGTTGGGTGCCTCCTGCCCAACTGAGCAACATTACTCACACTCTGGAAGATAAGAATCAGCAACTCTATAGCAGCCTCTTTACAGCCCCAATGGAGCTAATGAAAGGGAGAGATCTCCCTGTAAAAACCACAGGCACTGGGTGAAGCTCATAGAGCTAAGGCTGAGAAACAACTAATTTGAGGAAATACAGAGTTGCTCATAGGAGACGCAGGCACTATCTTGTGATTTTGTCTAAAAACACCTCACATTTTCTTGCTCAAATCTGTGAAAGAAAACAATGAAAACAACATGACAGGCTAATGGAAAGCCTCCTCTTACTTCCCTGCTCTTCCTGAAGTCCCAAAGAACACAGAGCTGCTCTTTTTCATGCAGTGACTATTAACAGAATTAGTTTCATTTTAAACATGTCTTATGTTGTCAGGGTATATATAGCCTACAAATGAATCAGTCACACAGATTCAGTGAAGCAGCTGTGTTTTTCTTCTGAAGTTTTGAAGAATCTTCTCACTTCGGCTGAAAGATTAGAAACTGAGATCTGCAAAAAGATAAGCAAGTTGGAATTGGATTTAGGGGTAACCCTAGGCCATGACACATAGGATTAGCACATTTGGCAAGGACTTATGCAGTCAACAATATTCCTCAGAACTAAGAAGCCCAGCTATACACTAAAAAGGAGCCTCTGCTCCCTCATGTCACCTCAGGAAATGGCTGTGCAAGTGCCCTTCAGGTAGCACTGTAGGCATCACAATTCTTGGTAGGATCAAAGCATCCTAGCAGTGACAAAATCAAACAGAAAGATTGAGTCCTAGAAACCCAAGACTTCAAGGTTCTGTATCTTCTTTGATTGCACAATTCAAACACCTCCTAGTCTACATGATGGACGTTAGAACACTCAGGAACAACAGTATCATGCTGTTAATCCCCTGAAGCAGCCTTTTTGGTATCGTTCCAATAAATGGCACTGGACACAATCCAGCCCTGCTGCCATTTTATTAAACATGATCTTACTGGGCAAGAGAGCAGTTAGTTTTCATAGCTAGCTTTTATGGAAGAAATAAGTAACTTTAAGAACATGTTAGCACAATAACCATTAACAAATTTTCTTAACAAGCACAGAAAAGAAAGGATAAGAGAAAAGAGGATATTTTCATGTTTTGAAAATGGAGTACAATCAGAAGACTGCAACAAGACCATGCAGAAAAGGGGCTAACTATGTTGCTGTCCAAAAATCCAGTAACGTTTCTAATGCTATTTGAAGATAAAACTCAATATTCAGACCATAATACTAAGGGAAAAAAGGCAAACAGGCTAAATTGCCTGTTTGAGCATTTTCTTCCCCTTATAAAACATCTGCTTTCCAGCTCCAGAACACTGGAATTACTCCAGAGGGAAGAAAACCAGGAAGGGAGTTTAAGGGGGAGAGAAGTGAAAATCAGAACCATTATTTTGTATTTATATTTAAGGAGGAGAATGTTAAAGAGTTTAAGGTGGAAGTTATTATACCATTATTAGTGCTATTTCCTCTTATCATTACAAAAAAGCATTCTTTACAAGTACTCTTTGTAGCAATTACCTAATTAGTAGGAATTGTCCTACTGATCATCAGTCTTCAAAGCCACTTCAGTGTATGTTCTCTTCTGTGTCCTTTTTATTCCTAGAAAATTTCATGTGATCTTTCATGAATCTCTGTAACCATCTCTTAGTGAATGGGGGAAAACATAGCCGAGAACTGGATAAAGTATAGAGCCACAAGAGAAGAGAACTAAGAGTGCAAGAATTTCAGTATTTGTGGTTCTCCCTGATGTAAGTGATATATGTCCTTTGGACTTACTCACATTTGGGCATGTCTTGCATTTGTTGTTCTGGTACTGCTTTTAGAAGCATCACATTCATAGTCCAAATTCAAAACTATTATCCTTGACTATTCTACAAAAAAATTCCTTGTCATTAACTCAATTATGACAGTAGAGAAAAGAACAGAATATGAATTTCATATCTCAGAATGATTTAAATAATCAGCCCTCATTATTGAGTTGAAAGTCAGAGCTGTTTCATGAGGTTTATTATATTTGGGTAGTATACAGGCAATGAAATCTGAGCTCCTGGTCATATCCATTGCCCTCAAGGCAAACCTTTTTAATTGGCTAACTTAATATGCAAAGGAGATAGTAGAGGTGGGATTAAACAGACCCTATGGATATCTAACTTCTACTTATAATTGCCGTCATTCTAGGTAGGCTTTTCCTATCAGTGTTGTTATAATCCAAGAAAATACAATGTATACATCTTCTAGCCTGGAATAATATGACCAGCTTTGCCATTCAGTTTCAAACAAAACCTTCAGATATTTACTTTAAAAACTAGTAACAGCCTATGTTGAATCTCTGAAATTATGTGTAAACAAACTATATTTTTCTTTGTACAATTAAGATAGCTGAACTGGCTTTTAAATCATACCAGAGGCTTTATGCTATTGTATGGTGTCATTTGAGGAGTGGCTTGTTTAGATCTTCTCCACCTTCTTCCCCCAGTCCAGTGACTGTACAACCATAATAATCACTGTTGGAAAAAATCTAAGGGCAAAATCGCCAACAGGGTCCCACCCATTAGGGAGGTCCATCTAATGGGACTGAGAAGAAGGGCCTTCTCTGTGGCGGCTCCCTCCCTGTGGAACATCATCCCCGCAACTTGTCCCCCAACTTGATTCTCTTCTGAAAGGCCCTGAAAACATGGTTCTGTCAGCGGGCCTGGGGATCCCAGATTGATATCTGATCAAGTGGTTTGTTTGAATGTATTGTTTTCACCAGGGGTGTGGGGGTGTAGTGGGTTTTGTATTTGGGGTCTTATTTCTCTAAGTTGCCCGGAGTCACTGTGAGTGAGTTGGGTGGCCATATAAATTGCTTTAATAAATAAATAAACATGTTACCATTTCATCTTCGTAACACACAGGGGCTTTTAATAAAATAGAAGAATAGTAGTAGAAATGTATTGTCGAAGGCTTTCACGGCCGGCATACGATGGCTGGTGTGGGTCTTCCGGGCTGTGTGGCCGTGTT